GCCCGTGAGTGTAGATGGTTACACAGCACAAGAGACAGGAAATTCTACCTGGACTTAAGGGGGTATCACTAATTTAGACTCTCAAAGTCGAGGAAGACATGTAACAAGGTTCGACACCCCCGTCGTAATAGATTTTCGGACAAACATGAGTCCAAAAGACAAGAGTGACATCCCCTCGGTCGTAGGACTTATTTTAGACGCCCTCGGCGTCCGGTATATTCTGAAAGTAGAACTGTGTGTATATACCACCGTTTTACATCCTCCCTTGGTTGGGTTCCGTCTTATGCTAAATACTTTATTTTGGGTTTAGGTTACCCTTTCCAGACGCTTCGTCTTTTTCTACCCTTTGTTGATTGGAGTTTGTTAAGTAAATAAGCCCGGAAAGGTGTGTACCAACCTAGATAAATAACTTGACAAAGTAAGTGTAAACAGCAAGCTATCCAACAAAATACGGTATTGTTTTTCCACAACTTATTAAAGTAATTACGGAGTCATTACCGTAGTAAAGGACGAGTAGAGACACAGAGGTCACTGGGCCGGAGCCAGGGTGCCCAGAAGTCTCTCGCCCCTGAAGGCTGTGGGCTTCTTCCCCTTTGGGACAGTGGGTAGTTGATGTTCGGGAGAGGGGACGTCTCCTTTTATCGCCACTCTTCTCGGATATGCAATAAAAAATCCGTCACTGTTCAGAAATCGTTTTAAAATTTTGCCCGTTTTGAATGTTTTTAATAGTTTGTTTTAGTTCGCATATTGACTGCCTATTGTGCCATTTTATTTGTGTTTTACAGCTGTATTTGTCTGCCTGTCATGTCTGTGTTTTATCTGTTGTAACTTTGTACATGCTGCCCTTCTTGGCCAGGTCACTCTTGGAAAAGAGATTTTAATCTCAATGAGTCTTTTACCTGGTTAAATAAAGGATATATAAAATATTTAAACTACTTGCGAACACAATGTAAAAAGGGCAACCAGGTTTTGTACAAGCTACATAATGAAATGATGAAAACATCTAAAGTGAAAGCAAAATATTGGGTGATTCTTGATTCGGTGAGGTTGCTCCAGGACCATTTGGAGGAGTCCTGGAAGTCCCTGGCTGATTGGAAAAACATTCCCAAAAATGCACACATGCTTTAAGGAAGGGAAAATACCTCGTATCTCGCTATATGACGCACAGGAGATGAATGGATGTGTACAAACGCCTGGAGACATGAGTTCAGAATACCTCGGGTCTAGTCTGGCTCTCTAGCGGCAGAAGAGGCCGCCCAGCAGGCTGGAGTAACCCAGGGCCCCGCCACAGGCCACGGAGCGCACCGCTAAATCACATACACTGATTTATTGTATCAATTAATTGTGCTCTGACATACAAGCACATTGAGATTAAACGCCGCTCACTAATCACGGCGAGGCAACACAAGTGGCGTTTAGCCGGAGCAACTTGCTGCATGGATGCTGGGGGTGTAGCAGCAGCAGCGGCGGTGGGATGAGATGTTTTTGCAGACATGACGGAGGCTGATCACTACGCAGCAGATCGCTAATACACACAGAAAACGAAAACATCCATCTATGATTGAAATCTATTACCCTCTGACTAATTACATTTTCATTATGGCCGAAAATGGTACCAGGATATTACGCATGGCAGCAGGTGATGGATATGTCGGGATCCCGGGACATATCGTGATGAATGGAAGGCCCAAAACACTAGACATACCAAAAATAACAGCGACAACACAAAAACACTAATTGATTTTCTCTAATTGATCATAGTTATAATCTCTGTCTCACCAGCGGCTGCATCTCCGCCTGCATCTCTGCTTCCTGCACGGCACTGGGCACCTGGAATCTGTCTTTTTCTTCCATCATGTTGGCAGCGCGCCTCGGTCCTCCTTCCTCTGGAAACTGTGTGTTTGTATTGGGGGGTTTCGACGAGTTATCGCCGAGATTGTGAAACGATCTCAGATTTGTAGAAATCTCTGTAGTTCTCCGGTGGCGAGCCTCATCCCAGCAGGCAGTGTGTCGACGGTGGTGTGACGGTGGCTCCAACACCCATTTCCGGGTAGGGGATTCCATGCTAGGGTCGAGGGACCCAGAAGGGGCCGTTGAAAGAAGACAAAAGTGGTCCCAAGCTAATTGAGTTATGATGACAGTGAGAAGATTTTTAAGTAGCCTACTTTAATACAAGTTCAAGATAGCCTACTTTACTACTCCTCCTAATGTCAGGCAAATATTGCACTTTATTAATTCAATGTATAAATGTAATTAAAGTTAGTGTTCCTATTGAAACAAATATTATATTTAAAAAAAAATGTATTTAGTTGTTATTATAATAAATTGAGTTAAGATAAGACTGGGAAACTCACAAGTTACATTAAAGTGATATCACATTCATGCATCAATAATCATATCCAATGCAATAATATACAGTACATTATTTACAAATGGACTATTCTGCGTTATGCAACAGGAATAATGTACAAGATAATGTTAACGTGATTATTTACCCGCCTTCAAAGGTGAGAATATGTAAACAGGTTAAGAGATAAAAAAAACAAAAACATTCTATGAGATTACAAAATGCCCGAAATATCACAAATAGAGAGGCGAAGTCCCTCCCTCTCCGGGGGAGCTCCATGGGACCTTATTTCAGAAAAATTATTTATTGAAGTCAATGGGGAGAGAAAGATTATCTTTCAATCCCGTTTGAATTGTGCCACGAATTACTCATATAATGTTTGTCAATTTAAAAGATCATTTTGCAAGTAAAAAAAAAAAAAAGTGTCGTAAAACTGTGAAGTAACACTTTTTTTGGTGTGAAACTGCTCAATGAACTACATCTCCCGTCTCGCACCACACACCAAGACGGCCGTCAGGTTGGCACATTTGACTTATTTCTATCAGAATGAGGCGAAAAGTATTAAACGAGGTGAAAATCACTACAAGTCTGGGCATGTTGAGAGCTGTGCATACACAAAAGGGGAGTTAGTCGTTTCCGTAAGAGCCAGCATGCGGGACCGGGATTCTGGGATTTGTAGT